GTGTGTGTGTGTATGTGTGTGTGTGTGTGTGTGTGAGTGTGTGTGTGTGTGAGTGTGTGAGTGTGTGTGTGTGTGTGTGTGTGTGTGTGTGTGAGTGTGTGTGTCTGTGTGTGTGCGAGTGTGTGTGTGTTGAGGTAAAACGGTGTCATTAGAAACGCAGCTCTATGCCGGCGTGTGCGACAGCAGCCATGCAGAGATCAGTGCTGCATCTCCTGGATTTCAAAGCACAACATGCTTTGCAAATTCACCTCCTACCGCGCGCTGGCTTCACAGCTGGTTAACGGCGCTGCGTGTTCCTCTGGCCTGTTTACATGCATGACAGCTTCTCCAAGCGTCACACTCCCCTGTGATCCGCTTTTACAGCCATTACATTCTCTGATTTTATCTTCGTGAGCATTGCAGTACACTGATCCTCTGATCACACATGCGGCCTCCTCTATCCCTGATCCTCAGATACCTGCGAGGCTAAACCTGACCTCCGCTTTTACAGCAATCAGCCTCACGCCGCCTCAGGACCCCAGACGTCTATCTGCTTTTGTGCTGGACCCAAAGGAACCGGCCCCAGTGCTGAGGACCGCTCATTGATTCAGGAATCTAAGGTCACGCGCCGAGCCTCCTTACAGACACTGGATTACTCACCGAACACATTTAGGCCAGACTGTTATCAAAACCGGCTTTCATTCGCTGAAATACAATTTACCAGTCTGAGGTGAAACTCGAGTGACATTTATTTGGTCATTTGAACACAGTGCTTTGTGTCAAGGCAATTACAGTCTTGTATTGTGAATATTGTGTATAATAGTGAATCAGCATGCAGTCAGAATTCAGCAGTTCATGCGTGCTCCGTGTGTCTAATTCTGAAGGACTGAAAGTGGAGAAAGAAACGAGTGGAAGTGTATTAACACAGTAAGAGGTTTAACAGTGGAATGAAGTGCACTGACCATTAGAGCAAGTTATGATAAAGTAGCATTTATAATAAAGACAAAAACAACACTGTGTGAGAAAATATGTCAGGATTTCTAACTAAATTGCCTTTCAAGTGCAATTTGATTATCAGATTGTTTGGAGGTCAGTTTGTAGTTTATATTATTAAATATCAAATATTATAAAGCATGTTTTCTCTAAACGTCCTCCAGAAATATTGCATAATATGGCATATGCTCATAATGTACATTTAGATACAATATTGCCCTCGGGTTGAAAATGTAACTATATATATATATATATATATTTCTATAAAATGTATTTTCTCTATAGACTAGTAGGGCGAGTCAAGAAATCAAGACCTGCGCTTGTAATTTGACTCAAACGAGTCTGAACGAGAGAGATTGTCAGGTTAATTGCCGTTAGTTATGACTTCTTCATATAATGTTATGAATCTGTAATGAATCACTCATTAATTATTTCTCATCTCAGCAACAGCCGGACTCGCGTCAGAATCCTCCAATCAGCTGCAGCTTTACTCGGTGACAACAGTCATCGCGGCCAATCAGGAGCGCGCTTACTCTTGTGTAAGTTTTGAACGCGTCCGCGGCAGTATGACAGGACGTGACGCGGCGGCGTCTGCAATGTTTACAGTCTTATTTGCATCTTAAGTATTTTTAATAATTTTCCAGGAGAAAGATGGATCTTGTCGCAGGTACAGTACAGCACTGCGTGTGTGTGTGTGTGTTTGAGTCGAGCTCTCCTCACGTTTATATTTACATTATAACATTATATTTGAGATCTTTCTCAGTGTTCCAGATGTTCTGCTAAGTATTTAGAAATAAATCACATACATTCGATGTTTTATTAGTGATCAGAGTTCACAGTCACCATGGTAACCAGCACTGCTAATTACTACAGTAATTAATTACAGTAATGCGGTCATTTGGGATTAACATCGTGGAGAAACATTAAAATGTATCTAATAGTAGAAACAAAACGCAGTGTTTAAATACTGATAAGCACTGTGTAAAGACTTTACTACTTACTTTTTGTGAGCGTAGTGCTGGGCGGTATGACCAAACATTTATATCACGGTATTTTAAAAAATTATACCGGTTTCACGGTACATGACGGTATTTTTTCTCATGCATGACCGGGTGCTAACCATATTTTCTACTGATTGAGAGGAAATACTGCAGTATATTGACTTAGAATGCCCTATTTTACTGTCATGAGTATTGCGGTATTTAAAAAATTCATATCATAACAAAAATAAACACCGGTATTCGGTATGAACCGGTATACCGTCTCACAGTAAGCTCCGACACACCAGCTCTCCTTCACACGCTCGCCTTCGCTCTGACGGATCTCACCTGTTGATCAGCATAGCAAATCAGAGCTGGGTTTGTGCGTTAACCAGTCCGTCACAGACATCATCATCAGTGTGAATCTGCCGGTCACGTGTAATGCAGGCTTATTACATGTCATTTCTGTGCTTTCAACACCAGCTCATTATATATTATAAATATGCTCAGAATAAACCTGATGTCTTTCTTACTAGGGCTGCACAATTTGATGGAAAAAATGTGTGATTTAAAGAAGAAAAATCCAGATTTGCTGTGCTTATTTGAAGGTAGTGTTGGGCGATATGCTCAATTTTCATATCGTCCTATCGTCAGCCTGTGAAATCACCGATACACGATATTATCGTGCTAATTTATGTTTACTTAGTTTCGTTGCGAGAAAGTAAACCAACTCCAGCGTAAGGCTAAAAGCAGCCTAATGTTTTTAATATGACTGAATTTGTATTTAACATGATAACAAATGAATAGAAACATCATAAGTTGCTAATTATAATGCTTACATTTCCTCATTTATTCAAAAAGCAGCTACAGAAAACAAGCAAAGAACATCATCACAAGCTCTTATGCACTTTAAAAACACTCCCGTTAAACTCAGTGAATCTACAGTATACGATAAATAAATCTCTTATAGTTACACCGCACGCACATCTGCACTTTGTTGTTTATAATGAGAGAATTGGCGAGTCAGAGTTCAGTCAGCGCGCGCTGCACAACAGAACTCATCTGAACGCCTCTGATTGGCCATTGCATTCATAAGCTCAGCATAATCGTGTGTGATTGGATAGAATGAGCAATACTGTAAAAACGCGGAAAAAGAAATATAGGCCTAATGCAACAAATAAGCCCTAATATTAATTAGATAGTATTACTAGCCTGATAATAATAATAATAATCGTCTTGCTATCGTCTATCGGCACAACCCTATTTGAAGGGCTGCCAGATTTGGCCAGAATTTTGTGATTATATCAATATGGCTATGAATAATAATAATAATGATAATAACATAGGCATATTTATAGGCGTGTTTACATTATCACAACATTCTGCAGCCTTAGTCCAATAGTAATATTTCTTATTTTATTTTTATTTAGTAATTTTATTATATTTATTTAGTGATAATAATAATATTTATTATTATTATTACAAAATAAAAATATAAAAATAACTAAATAATAAAAATAAGAGTTAAGTAAGAGTAAGAAAAATAATATAATAATACTGTAATATAATAATTTTATTAATACATTATAAAATTTCAACGCTAATATTTATTGCTGTGAAATATACAGTGCATATATGTGACCCTGGAGCACAAAACCAGTCTTAAGGGTCAATATCCTGATATATGGCCACGTTCGTTCACACTCGCGCCGTGTTTTGTCTTGCAGGCAGGTTCAGCGCTTGCGTTTATTTTTCCGACGGCTAGAAGTACAACCCAAACCCAAGCCGAGAGCGCTGTTGGTGTTATTTGAGCGGACAGGATCCCTGAATGTGGACCGTAGTGCTTCCACACAATGATTATGCTCGTCCAATCAGCTAAGGAGCTCTGGAGGCTTCATGATTGGGCTGGCTGGAAATCAGGCTCTTAAGACACAACACATCGACTGGGCCATCCATCATCTCTTAGCATGGGCTCAGGCCTGCCAATACACCCCCGTTTGAGAGCGCAGAGCGGCGTCCTCTGTCGTTCCTCATCCAAGCGGCCCTGAGCTCATCCCATCTGCATGCTCTGTCATCTCCTGAACGCTGCACACGCGTGAGACCTTTTGAGAGTTTTGTCGAATATGCTGGATGATGTTTCATTTAGTATAATCGCGCTGCAGTTTTGCGTCTGTCACTTTAAATGCTGGAGCTCTTTAAAGCAGGATGGATTCTGATTGGCTTTCAGTGTTTTGAAAGTGATTCCCGACAGGGTTATTACAGTTAAAGTCTTCATGAAATCAAAATTGACTTTATTTGCTTATTTAGCACACATTGCTAGTCTTGAGGTGAACAGTGATTGTGTTTTAAAATACATCAATGAACACCATGAAACCATTTTAAAAAGCCGCATTCAGCAGTCTCTGTGACAGGATATGAAGCAAAGTAAAATGATCCCAAACGTAACTACAGCGCGCCCTCTTCATTTCATCAAATGTTTAGAATCACATCTATTCATTTTACAATCCTACTACCAGCCTTTTATTTAGACTAAAAACCCCATTCATTGGTGTGAGGAAGCTGCGTTTTGAGTGGCACATCCCGTCATGCTGTATGCCACTGCAATAGATGCATTTTTCAGTATTAAGGTTAACGATGAATTGATCATTAATTTAAACGATGATCCATCATGGGAATGATCAAAAATTGACATCCCTAACACAGACCAGAACAAAAACAGACATTCCGACACAGAACGCACATTTAAAAGCAGAATAACTGCTGTAGTGTTGTTTTTTTTTCAGAGAAACAAGTATGTGAACTTAGCATGTTTCCTAAGTATCTGCAAACATATTATGTTATTTTAATGCTTTAGTACAGTCAAGTCATTACATACAGCACCTGTGAAACAGTTGCAGAACCACTGCATTTCAAGATCCAAAGATGCTACATGCAGCATGAGCAGTTTTCGATGTAAATTGGATTGTATTTCACAATTTGATACAAAAACAGATCAGACTTAATATTTGTGAAACTATACAACATAAAACATCATCTGCAGGAAACCGAAACAGCAGACGGGAGGAATGAGACGCAGATTCACTCTCTGACAGCAGGTGGCGCTCATGGAACAGCAGATACAACGTCTCCTTGTAAACAAAGCAGCATTTAAAGCTAATAAACATTGCTTTAATATAGAGGTAAATGAAAAGAAAATACCATCTAAACTTTTCAGTTCCCCTCAGATATGCATTCATATAATCCCCCACCGTTCACAATTCTACGGTGGCTGAGAGAGCTCAACACGCTGCAACTAAAAAACACAAAAACATCTTCATCAGTTTGACAACACATGTGCTGCAAAGACTCACAACACAACCAAATACAGAAAAGCGTTGCAAGTAGCACAGACCACAACAGAAATGTTTCAAGGGCATCGACCCCCAACAAAATTAACCATGGTTTTATTATAGTAAAAGTGTAGTTTTTTTACCATTTGTATAACCACAGTTGTGCAAAATCCATGGTTAAACTGTGGGTAGTGTAGCAAATCCATAGTTAATTTGTGGTTACCACCATGGTTTGACTATAGTAACCATGTTTTTTTTTTTGGTATTATTCCAGTGCTTCCCACAGGTTTGAAATATACTTGCGTTGGTAGCCAGGGGGAAAATCCTCCTATTACCCATGAAACAAACATGGTCTACTGCATTTGACAAATAAACAAATAATGTGTGATTTTTAACTTTTAATTTATTGAAATTCATTTTAATTACATAGGCTACTATTACATTTAATTATATACTAATATTATGCATTATTATGCATTGTAAATTCTGCAAAATTACAGCATTTAAATGGTAGAGTTCTCTTTGCTTTGTAATATAGTGTCCCTCTCAGTGAATGGGTAAAATCTATATATTGAATAATTTGTATCAAATAATGTTCTTTGACATTTCTTCCTGTGGGGAAGCATCCCAGCCAGAAACTACAATAGTTTGAAGACTAAGAGTGTGATGTTTTAGCGTGCTGTGAATGTGAAACAATAATCTGAGGTCGCCACTTTCAATTCACGACGCAACAATGCCATTATTTAAAAAAATTCATACCGGTTGCATAATTCAAACCGGTTTACCGTTGAACCGGTATGTCGCCCATCACTACTAGAAACCAAAGCAATGTGCTGAAAGCCAATCAGAAGTTTTGATGGCAGTACCCATTAATCATTAAGATCAATCATGTTCTGCTTAATAAATGATAAGCTAATAATAATAAATGATTTTTCCTTTATTGATTCGACATCAATTTGGGTGTTGAACGTGTCAGTATATTTTTGATTACTGATGTTAATATGCGATTAATTGTAATTAAATGACATCTGTGCAGTTATTTACACGGCTAAAACCTCATATGTGTCTGGAGCGTATGCATCTAAGCAGCGTATCAGTCTGCCGGACGCCCCCGTAACACAGATGTTGGAGTCATCTGTCAGGCAGGCCTCTCGCGGCCCGAGCTCTGGCTGTTCTGAAGGGAGTGTGAATTGGACACGGTGCTGTCAGTTTCCCCCGTCTCACAATGGAGACGCATGCAAATTCCGCACACCCCGCTCGGCGAGGGGCGTGATGGGCGACATCAGCCGGGCCTTTCCTCCGACTCCTCAGCATTAGAATTGGAAATGAAGCGCTCTTAAGAGTGCCATCCGGATCAT